CTGCACCAGCGAAGTAAGTTAGTAACTAATATATCGCGTTTTAAACCGTTAAAGTGTTTTATTTAAATAAGTATTCTTCTTTACGTTTTAAACCCATTAAAGTTTCTACCACGACTATGGTGAAGCTGCGTTATTCCTCTGTCGAATATAGGGACCTATAGCCCCGATCACATTTGTACTTTTGTTTCAGACTATAAATAATGTAAGGCGCGTTATATTCGTAAGAAGTTGACCTCGACCGAGTGAATAAACCTATAATCGAAGGCGAGGCGAGAAGGCCCCTCGGCATAAATCAGGCTCCCCTCACCATGACGCCCGGCGGAGCCTTCAATTTGGCACATCCTTAAAATGACATACGAGAACTCTCCTAACAACCGACGCTCGCGCCACTTTCTGAATTATACGCGTATCTAATATGGGGTAATTAGGTGTCGAGTTGCGCGACTGAGTTCGTGGCATAGGTTGTAAATCATAAATTAAAAATCGATTTAATTTAAAAATTACGACTCTAGCCGGACTTGAACTGGCAACCACAGCGTTCAGTGCTGCTGCTCTAACCAATTGAGCTACCATGGACGTTGATAGCGTTTTATGCGATACAGTGTAGCGTTTTACACATTAAAAATCTACACGATTTTAATGAATAAAACAAATTATGACCCTACAAAATGTGTAGTTTTAATTCATGACTAGAACTCCCCCCGGCTTCTGAACGGTTATTGAATCCACTTATAAACTATTACGCACGCACCCAAACATTTTCCTTTGATTTTGGGAGGTTTAAGGTACCTAAAGAGTCGTCCAGAAGAATGCTTCAATTACTTGTTAAATTTTGAGTGGGAAAATTCCATCTTCAAGTTTAAGTAGTTGCTGCCCCCGTGACGCCTTACATTTTAAAGCCGTTATAAAAAATGGCTATGGCTTTTGATTTTTTTTTACAATGAACGAATACTTATCGTGAAAACTATTATATATATGTTACAATTTTTAACAATTGATTGAAGATAATTTTTCTTAATTCTTAGAGGATAAAGAGTTCTATAGCATTTTTACACCTTAGGTTATGTTACCAAAGTTTTAGTAAAGATCCCTAATTTTAAATACTGTCTGTAGTTTACGCGAGTAGTACACATTTAAATAAAACATTTTAACGGTTTAAAACGCGATATATTTTAGTTAAACTTTTTGAGAATTAATTAACTTAACTACGGCCTGACGTTTCGTGACTTTGACTTTGATTTTTTACGATGCTTTGCAGCACCCGTGGTAACGGGGACAAGAAACCACCAAAATATATCGCGTTTTAAACCATTAGTGTTTTATTTAAGTCCCTAATCTTTTTAGCAAAAATGTGACTCAGGGTGAATGTAGCTTTCTAATGGTGAAATATTTTATTGAAATCGACACAGCAGTTTTTGGGTTTATTCATCACAGACATGCACAAATCTTCCCTATTTATAAAATTAGTAAAGATTTGTATTATTTATTAGTAATACATAAGAAATGTCATTTTCGCGTTCGAAACTCAATAATAGGTTATCAATGTCATCGTGATATCGATTCGGAGGTTGGGGACTCGGTGAAAGCAATCAGGGCTCCGCCGTAGACAAACTGTCGGGGAGGGCCTTAATTGGCGGTCGCTGAGATTTATGCGCGATGCGGCTCGTCACTCGGCCGACGATTTTGTGCGACCGCACGACCGCGGGAAGCGGTGGAGGACGCCGAAACCATTGTAGGCAACCGCGAAAAAAGATCGAGTCATCAAATTTATATCAATAGTATAGAAGTGAAAAGTTTGTTTGTTCGAACGCGCTAATCTCAGGAACTATTGGGTCGAATTACGTTGGTTGGTTAGAGCATTTATCGAGGAAGGCTTTATAAAATAATACGCTGCGACCAATACGGGAGAAGAAAAGTGGGAAATGTGGAAGAAGCATGGAATGTTATTTGTCTTTAAGGATTTCTGTTGCGTTCGCTGCGAAAACGGTTCAAGATACACATGGGAGAATGATTCCACAACAGTATATATCTATCTTTTAAGATTAAGATGCAAGGGTAACCAGCTACAATTTACAAATAATATTAAAAAAAGATTAGAAGTATTGCAAAAACTTTGATGTCGAGGCAGTTTGCGAAATATAAACAAGTGCGAACCGAAGTCGCATTTTATGGTTCCGTACTATTCTTTACCAGAAAAACTAATTAATATTAAATTTATTCCGTTGTATTGCGTGTTATAGAGGCAACATACTAACAACTATTACAAAAATATAGGCTGATGGCAGTCCAATAAACAAATAGGCAATCTTACAGGGTCCAATTGTAACAGCACGAAGCAATAAAAAAATATAATTGTAGCGCTGAACCACTGGTAAATATTCCCCCAAATTCCTTTAAATCATTAGGTATTATTTGATACGTTTATTTGTACACGCCTAATAACCTAGGCGTATTCTCAGTAAAAGGAAAATTGCTCATATTTGTAATGTTAAAAATATGTAGAAAAAATCCGATCGAGCTTGTACGATTCTTGTTAAAATGTTTCCCCTCACAAGAACGCCGGCTCCGCGGTAACAAGTCGCATATTAAAATTGTATATTGCCATGCATTATTTTATCACAGTAAAATGTTGCCATACTTCTAATGCTAATTTGATTGTGCACGCAAAGAAGCGAACAAAGTGTACTTATAATACATTATTACGTCGACAAGAATGACAAAGTTAAATTGACAAAGAACTTACTTCATCCTCTAATATTACCTCAGTATCCTGTAACAATACGGGTACAAGAAGACCTGAATTAAATTCTTCCTCTCCTGGCTAGCGCTTTTCTGGGTTAATAAAAATTCTTTGACCGTTTCATTAGATGACTTTTTCATTTTTTACCCTATTAGTTTATGTATTTTTGAAAGTAAATTAAACAAAATACATTCCGTATAAAATAATCTCTTTGTACCGCGTTTGTAGAAACGAAAATATATGTGGCACTTAAAGAAACTAGAGGTCTGTAGACAACATCGGGTTGTTTTTGCGGGGCGCGGCGCGGGGGTTAAACTAACTCCCCACCAGGGGTGAAGCGGTGCCGTTTTCAATTTGCTTTATTTGCGCTTGTTTTAATAGCTCTCTCCTTATTGCTTTCGCGGACGACCAGCCAAATTGCTTCGTGCCCGGACGCCTTTTGATTAAAGAGGCACACGGCATCGAACAAGGCGTAAAAACAAAGTGCTTCAACTATTTACACAAGTTTCATGAAGATCTTCGGGGACGTATTAAGAAATGGATACGGGAGACGTGACTGCCGCGGTTGTGAGAGACGCTAACACCTTAATAGTTCATGTAATAAAAATGTTTGATTGACATAAATTATGACGCAGGCCATGACCCACAGGATACCGTGCCGTTGTTCTAATAAGTAGGTAATCGAGAATAGTTTTTATATTTGCAGAAGCTTTCATATGTTACCACGTGGCATGAACTAAATATGACAGTAGTTAATTTAATTCGTATATGTTTTATTTAGATTTTAGAAACATTTAAAAAGTCAATATACAGTAATAAATAATAAATATTATTCACCAACGTTATCTACAAAATATAGTAAAAAAAAATATCAAAGTATTTAAAATGAAAGCCTGAAATCCAGTTATTATCCTCAAAATAATATAATAGCTTTGGAAAGTTTAAAAGGGAACATTATCCGCGTATAATATTTCTTCGAGCCAACAATGAAGGCTAAAATACACCAATTCTGTACTAATTATATACTCTGAACATAATAAGAAAATCCGCGAAGGAATCAATGTTTACACAAAATAGATGTCGAGTAAACACAAGTAAATAATATCGATGTTTGGAGTCAACATTGAAATGTTGTTAACGAGCTCAATACAAACACTCGATACGTACAATCTCTTTTATATGATTGCCTAAAATCCATAGAAAATGCTATAATTTTAGGCAATCAAAAAAAGCAGCTAAAATTGTAGAGATACATCTATATAAAGCTGAAGAGTTTGAATGTTTGAACGCGCTAATCTTAGGAAGTACTAGTGGGAATTAAAGCAGTCATCGAAGAAGGTTAGGTATAGACGATAAAACATCGCACCGCGACAAATAGGATCAAATAGATTGGAAAAATTATTTATCTTTATCGGATTTCGTTGTATACACCGCGAAAACGATTCAAGATGCCCAGAAAATATGGACGACATAATGATTCCTCTTAAGATGACCTAAAAAAAGTCACACAGTGTGAACGACGGTGCGCGACCGACGTCATGGGCAACAGGAGAGGGAAACAAAGAGCGAGTTTGAAAAAACAAATGTTGTCCATAATAACTATCTTACGCGGACGAAGCCGCTGACACATCTAGTACTTTATATTCTGTTCCATGTTTTTAATTAAGCAAACACCGTGATTTAATTTGGTTCACAACCTACGCTAGCAGCACAAATGATGCGGCCGTATCAATACACTAATTAATGGGAATGGACATGAGCAATTCACAATAAACATAACGCCCTCATTGGTTTACATTATTTAACTTCGAAACGAGAAGAATTTATAAGTGTCTCGTGAAAATAAAATACTTGTTTTATTATGTCATTGTTTTTCGGGCTGTTCGGTAGAGTGTTCTTCGAGCAATCGAGGAACTAACAACATCTTACGATGTTGCCGTCCGCTCGTGGTGGTAAAACTACGAGAACCTCTTCTCGCTCACGTTGGCAGAACAGCCCCAAAAACGATGATATGCTGAACGATGGCCGTGAAAGCCACATTTTTTTATAATAAAGGTGAGGTTATAAGTTTATTGGGAGATGATAAGAAAAATTATTATATTTTATATTTGTTAGCTATTGTGTAGGTAATAATATAAGTCCTAATATTGTGTTAGTAATAAGGGGGTTGTAAAATGTCCCCTTTTGTAAAAATACAATACAGCTAACCTAGAAGGGGTCTATATATTAAAATTATACTTTAATAAGATAAGCCACTTACCTCAACCAATGCCGTTTCGCTATAGCTGTGTGACAACATATGGCGTCGTATTGGTCAGCTATCCAGACAATGAGGATAATGTAGAATGCGGTTGTCGTGTCGTTGAAGAACTCGGACATTATGGCCTCCATTCCTGGAAAGAAATTAATGTTGTTTAAATATATTGTATCAATAATACACTGGTGAATTCAGAATACTCCGTCCTAATTATTAATATAATTATTTTATGTAAGGAAAGGACTACGCCGTAGCTCTTCTACGAAGTGGCGCGTACTCGTTCGTAGCACAGTTACGTCGGATAAGACGCGGTTTTGAAAAGTGCAGCGTTCTTATTTTAAAACCAAAATATTGTCCTTTAATTTCAATCACTTTCATAAATGAACAATTATTATTATTTTTTACACTTTTTCCAAAAAAAATAATAATCAATTATCACGGGGCACGGTATGTCGCGTTATCAATTATTCGGTTTCGAATGCTGACCGTGGCTTTTTTTAAATATTTTAAATATGTAAGCTCATATTCAAAATTGGAAACTTATTCACATTCTATTGAGTAAGCTAATCAAATACACATCCACTTCATCATAGAACATCATCACTCCCCCACAATAAATGGCCGTTCTCACACGAGAGCGTCACTAGATACCGTTATCGATGTCGCTAATAAAGTATCGACATGCTATTATAATGGCCTACATCCGAGAGGGCCGCTATTAAATGACGTTCAATATAGTAGCGAGAAATTATGCTTATTAAATTATTAGTTATTATACGAAATTGTATGCAAACATATTTTTTTTATAAATTTTTTATGGGTTCGGTGATATGGGTTCTGGGTTCGAGTCTCGTGTCGTACTCTATCTTTCTTGATTCTAAGAAAGATACATTCATATTCGCATGACGATAACTAATAACGTGAACAAGAGTGAAAAATGTTGAAATTTTCAATGATTTTGCTTTTCTTTCTTTTCGTTAACCGCCTCGGTAGCTAAATGGTTAAAGCGGGAAACAGTAAATTGTTTGAGTCGGGCAGGGCACAGAAGTGTGATCACCTACTTGCCTGTCAATAACACCGATCAGTGAAACGGACACAAAAATATGTTCGCCCGAGGAGAAATGGGATTTCACTTTTTCTTTTTGTTCGTTCTACACCCTTGATATGAGAACAAGAACTTAAATGAATAAATTATTTTTAAATTTCATTAAAGCATTTTAACAAGTCTCGGTGGGGGAAGATTAATAAGACTGCGGAGAGCGCATTTCGTCGCTGCACGGCAATAAATCGCAGGTCACATGTGAAAGCTGCGCCAGTGTCGCCAATGTCGGCGGTGTCGTGTGGCGTTAATTAGGTGTCGACAATTACGTTCTAACGACCGAAATCTGAGTAGCGGCGGTTATTAACCGCTGGAGATGCAACTGGCTAGAGCGGGGAATTGGGTTGGGATCTGCGACGGAGAAATGTCTTGGAAAGTAGAGGCAGACTTTAGTGGCGTGTAATTTTAATTTCTTCTGCTTTTGAAGGCGAATGTACATACTACTAGTAAATTTGCGTTCAAAGTAGAACTAGAGTTTCATCTTTTTACGTTCCTGGTCTGAGATAAATTTAATTTTTAAAGATTTTTTGTATCCTAATATAGCTAGCTCAAATACATATTTTACACAATATTTAATTCTAAACCCCTCAAGAGAAAGAGAAAAAAAAATGAAACACACAATACAATAAATGTCTTCAAATATTTCAATGCGATTGGTTACAAATGATATTGTAACCCATCGCACCGATTAAATTGAATAAATTCGCAGGCAAGTCTTAGTTACAAAAACTAAAATTATTAACGCGTCATCTTAATCTTACTTAATACTTAATCTTTGTATTTTCTTTTATAAAAATAACACACAACACGTTTTGAAGGTTAAATAAAACAGTTTTAAAAATTTCGCGTTTGAAACCGTTAAAACGGTTTTATTTAAATGTGTACTTGCGTAAACTACAAACAATACTTTTTAACAGCATAAAACATGATAAAACATAAATATCATAGGCAAATCTAATGCAACAGGTGTTACACAGATCGGTTTAGTTCGAAACAAGTTTTCAAATAACCCGAACCGAAAATAAAAACATCCACCGCGCCGATGCACAAACTCTCAGACAATTCAAATGTGTCGGGGGCATAACTCAATATAACACCGGCAACTGGCCGGCGCCGGGGCCTTATTTGCATTTTGATGAGGGCCGACACTGATACAATAAACACGTTAGAACACGATCCGGAGCCGACATCCGACCCGGCTCAGGCGACGTTTAACCGGATCGCTCATAACTACGTTCGCTCAATTAATTCACGCTCCGAATTACGCACGCCATTCGTCCGCCATGAATACAAAGTAGCTCGATTTTACAATTCGAAATAGAAATTAATAGATTCGAAGCTCAACGGCACGCTCGACATGCCAATGAGCTTTTAAAACAACCGAATCAATTAGACGACTGTTTCAATATCACAAAACAATACAACGGGCTCGTTGGTGTATGTATGGTTAATAATTAACAAAAGTTTAATTTTCTAAGGCAAGCCCAACACTTAGTAAGTCTGGATATTGATAGGGTGGTAAGAATACCGACATTCCATCCGGGTCACTAACCATCATCCTAAGATGCCTTAAGTTTAATCGCGTTTTAGTTCCAGTCTGTGGATTACCGAATATCTAAAGCCAACATAGGTTGATAGCATATTATATGGATGGTTACATGGCTGGGGTATTACATCCGTGTCTATCCTCCTATCCTATGGTTAAAAAGAAACAATAACAAAGTTCGGGAAGAAAAATGTGATCAAATTGAATATTGTTGCTACTTTCATGTGAAACTTATCTACAACTTCATACAAATCTGTCTTATATAATTCTGCGCTGGAGGAGCTATATTTTATATACTATTGGGGAACATAAACAGACTGAGCACCCACAAACCGTGTTTATTAAAGTTTTCAATCATTTTGCATCGCTCATGATGTTTCGCGCGTGCCTTTCACCCATCCGGGGCGATCTTCGTCTTGCGACGGAATTAAAATTAATAGCGGACCGGCGGCGCGTCGACCGGCCCGGACCAACCCGGGTGTAATTTGTTTACTCGTCTCGCTGCGGATTATGTCGCGCGCTTCCCTGAATTGTTAACTACCGTGACTTTTTAACATATTAACCTGTATTTTGATAATGAAAACCACTAAACAATTGTTGTATGTGTAATTATAGGAAATATTTTTGTTTATGGATGTCTATACTATATTCGATATTCTTACCCTCCATTTAAAAGATTTTCAGAAAAATTATAAATTGATAAGAAACACGATGGACTTGGTAGGGATCGAACCTGACATTGATCATGTTATGACTACATTGCAGACTTATGTTAATATTTTTAAACTTGAACCATTTATTTCAGAAGACATAAATATTAGCTATTTATAACTACATTAAAAAAGAGAAAGATAAAAAGAAAATTTCCGTATATGTAATGTACTAAAACAAAATCAACTCTTTAAGCATTCTTGCGTCTTTGTACTCTCACTTCAAACATACTACAAACACTAAGCTCCAAAAAATTGACGGTTAACTAGTTCATAAATAGTTCCTACTCTCAGAAGTGAGACTTGACTGAAAACTAAAGTCAGTAAGCCGCAGTACGGACGAATAAAGCAAGCTGAAGAGCTATCCAGGCTCAAGCAAGCTGAACGAGCGACGCACAAATTGTTACGCCTTACATCCCGAGGTTTAATCAAGGGGGACACCCGCCGCGTCCGGCGCGCTTCCTTCAACTTGGCGCAAATTGAGAATAATGGATGCTACACTATTTAAGGATTTCCGTGGAAAAATTCCGAGATTGCCGTGCCGGTTTTGTTTAAAACGAGTAATTTATCTTCGCAGTCGAGTGAAAATATTTTTATTATATTCTACAATTTTAAACACTCAGTTTTGTAACAAGCTCTAGAGATTCTGAATTTAATTTGAGGCGGAATATAATAGTTTAGATCGGGTTGGGCACAGAAGTTCAATTGCTTGCATGTAAGACACAGAAATGTGACATTGCCCCATGTTAATATAATACATCACATTATACCTTACAACTTTTCATTTGTTTATTTAGATTGGTTCATCAACTTGATACAATCTAAATTAAACACTGTAACGGTTTAAAGCGTGATAGACATTAGTTAAATTTTTTTGTCTCCCCGTGACCACGGCTGCTTCAAAGCATCCGAAACGTCAGGCCGTATTTAAAATTTTCAAATCATTTTAACTAAGTAGTGTGTGTGTATCGTGTTTAAAACCGATAAAGTGTTTTATGTAAATGTGTACTACGCGCAAAGTACAGACAGAGTACATATATTCAGCATCTTATAATATAAACATAATTGTAATATACAATCGTTATGTATCATAATGCAAATTATTAGCTCACTTTTAAAAAGTTTTAATAAATCGTCATAGGACACAGAATATAATCAATCCGTGTTACTAAAAATTAAAAATTGATTAAAATAATTAAAAGACTCGAACCTGCTCCAACGCGCGGAAAGCGTTGCGTGCTGTTGCTCTACCCAATCGAGCTAACGAGTCCTACACGTCATCGTCGATTTTTTTTAACCTATCGATACTTGCACCTCTCGCGTATTGTAATTTCAACCGATGTTGCTGTTTATGTTATCCAGAATCAACTATTTGAAAAACTACTGACTTAGTAGTTATGATTAATACTTATTTAAAATGATTACTAACAAAACTAAAATCGTCTCCAGTGTAACTAATAATAAATCACAATTTTATTAAAAACATATTCAAGATTATGAGTAACTAGCTGAGTCACGCGACTTCGTACGCGTAGAATAATTATTTTAGATATCAATTTTTGATTTTGCAAACCCCCTGTTCCACTCTATACATTTGAGCTGTTACGACCACGTCATCCACGTCCCGTCGTTCTAGCAAGTTAATCTTAAAAAATGCCTATATACTGTCACTTTTTTTATATCATTTAAAGAGGAATCATTATTTTATACATATTTTTGTGTACCTTGAAACGTTATCGCAGCGTACGCAATGGAAACCCACAAGGATGAGAATAATTTTC